TCTTCGCACTCCATATATAGACTAACATATTTGCGCTGTTGCCCCCAACCACACTAGGAGTGGGGATTGTCCGTAGGTGGATTTTTGACACGGGTCTTGCCCGTGTTGAGATTGCGCTGGAACCCCCATTCCCTATACTACTATCTTTTGTTAAATTCATCCAATATAGCCAGCTGTGAATACCTACCATCAATATTTGATACTAACTAAAAAATACAAAAGTTTCAAAGCAAAATATTCTTTATTTAAAAGAAGGGAATACGAAAAAAACCCTGATGATTCAGACCTACTTCTCAAACAGTCGATGTAAAATTTTCTTCTTCCCTATAATGTTGGGCTACCTGTGGATTTGGCGGGAAATTTCGCGCCAAAACGCGTGCGCTTCACCCCTCCAGCTCCAGTGTATGTGGGCTTAGCCTCACTTCTGAGGTCAGTAAACAAAAGCAGAAATCAGAATAACAATAAACAAGCAACTCCTGGATTCGAGGCTAAGCCCGCACCGGAGTTCTAAGAGTCGTCAATGCGTTGAGCTAAAGCAAAAACTTTCGCATACATAGATAAAAATCCATAAAAATCACACTGAGTTCTATTGTTTGTCTTACGTTACAGGTTAGTGCAGACTACAATATGACCATACGAGATCTTGTGACTGGAATAGTTCAAGAATTTCATCTAGAGAACTACCAAGTGCGGGAATTACCAGGAAAAACGCTTGCAGACTTGAATGCCAAGGCTTCTTCTGTCGAAAATTCTGAAATTGCTATCGAAGACGTTGAAAGAAGAATGTCAAACTTTGAGTTAGATAATATTCATGCGAGTAAGTTTTTCTATCGATAGTTTTCACAGCTGCCATGTAAGACGAATTTAACAAAAGATTAGTCATTAGTCTAGGCTTTTGTTATATCATCCAACATGGTCGCCGTGTCTTTTCGGTTAGTTTATTCTCTTGGGAATATTTGAAAACCATCAATTTTTCCCTATCCTTTAAAGGAGAAACAATAAGGACTAAATTTTTGATTTACTTATAAATATATCATAATTAATAACGACGTAGTTGGTAATATCAGTGAACTCGCTGAATGAGCATTGCCGAGGTCTCGCCGAGGTCTCGCCAAGGTCTCGATCATAGGAAGGGCAATGTTCGGCAATGTTACTAGCATTTCCCGCCAATACACATACGCGTACGCATTTCATCTTTAGAGTTTCCCGCCATATCCACAGGAATCCCGCATTAATTAATGAAATCTGACGATGGGATACGAGGTCCAAAACAGTAACTCGAATTTATATCAAAAGAAAAACTATCAAAGGAATAGAAATTAAACTTATTATCTTTAACAAAAAAATAAGGAAAGTTTAAGACTGGAAGTAAAACGTTTGGGCTGCTCCCCCCGCTACGCCGCTGCTAGCTAGTTTAAATGAATTCACACAAAGTTACGTGGAGTTTACCAGCGTCAACAAACGAGCGTTTTGTTACTAACTTCATCACTATTTTTCCTTAGTCAAAGACCCAAGATTACGTTGTGTGAAGGAGCTGCTTTACGAAGAAGAGCAATTTTTTAATGATTTAAAGTGTGTGTTTGAAGTTTATGCAGAACCCTTAAAGTAAGTTTCGGCTTTATTCATGCAAACAAAACTATATTTTTGGCTTGAAAGAAAAAAGAAAAGATCCCTGAAAATTTAAGTCATCAGAAAGCTGCAAGAAGCTCTTGTACCATGTCAGTTCCCACTCTCTAGCAAGCTGGGAGATTTTTATATTTTTATATTTTTAAAATTTTTAAATCATTTATTCTAAATGTTTTACATTTTTTTGGGAGATGGTACCAAACTCATTGGTTACATTTATTTGTACATTTTTTCACTCTGTTTACTAGCTCTAATCTATTAACCTGGGGTCCAGAGATTATTTATTCTCGCTCTAGCTTTTTCTGTTTTGAAGCAAAGGAGCGAGCTCGTTACAACCACAGGAAGCAAAATGGAACCTCTGGAGCCCAGAGTATTAATCTCTCAAATTTTCGTCAGTTTGAGACGCTACTTTTTCCCCTGCCTTTTCCCGTCTTTATGAGCTTCCTGTGGAATTGGCGCCAGGTACCCTGTAACGGTCACCTTACTACCTTTTATTAATCCTCAATCCATTCTTGTATTTGAGGTTTATGCGGCAATGGTGGGATATGCCGGATGGCTTTAACCTATGATTTCCTCTAACTAGTATTTTATTGTTTTTAGAAAATGGGGCATGACAAGAGCGGATTATAAAGCTATATTTGAACCACTAGAAACAATCTGTAATCTAAACGTTAGATTGAGTAACATGGTAAGTCTGTCATAGGTATATAAAGTTACTCATAGTCTCTCTAGAGACCAGAAAAAACGGTGAAATATTTGCTTTTATATCCCGGCGGTGCTGGTAGGAGGAGTTAACATGTCAGTCAAACTTAGCAACTTTGACTGTAAAAACCAATCAGCCAATTTAGGACAGTAAGTTGATTCAGCGGTACACTGGCTCAGAGATTCAAAACATTGCTAGCAGCGTTGAATGTGTTCCCATACAAGTAAATATGTTGCATGCATCCACTGTTTGTGGGAGCTTCAAGTGTACATTGTGTTCCATTGGCTTGTTGCATTTACAAACACGTCATTCACGTGACTTTCTCCCTTTGTGGCGCGGTCATCCCGATAATGTGGACACTGTTAAAACTCCTTATTGTATTGTATCAGTAAAGTAATATTCCATTATCAATAACAGTGTTGCGCAATTATGAGGACATGGATATTACGAAAGAGGAAAACTGCGCGTAGACCATGGTGAATCATGAATGATAGTTCTAACATATTCTTTCTCTGTTGAGCTACTTCAGAAATGCGCTAAAAAACATGAGTAAGATTGGCGTTGCGAGATTAGTTAGAACTAATTTTTTCGTGTTACTAGATGAGTTCGACTTTAATTTTATTGGCTCTTTGCTTTCTATCTTTTTTCCTTTCGTATTGTTTTGTTATTGAGTAATTTGGTTTACAATGTTAATGTCAAATTGTTAATACACAATATAACTTTTGGATCTCTTTGCAGTTGGAAGAAGCCGTTAAAAAGTGGGAAACTTCCACGACGTTGATTGGTGAGTAGATTAATCGAAGTATCTTTTTGCTAATAACCCATCATAAAAGGCAAAGCAAAATACTCCAGTTTAGAGTTCTTTTTTGCCCAGGGTTAGCCTCGATTTTTTGTAGAATATTCATGTGTTTCATCGAAGTTCCATGGAAATTGTGAAGTGTTTGTATTGTTGAAGATGTGCATTCTTTACTTTAATGTTATTTGTGAATATTTGAACACTAATATGAGGCAACTATGAGTAAATGCTGGAGTTTGTCGTAGGCGTTATTTACCGTCATCAGTAAAGTCGGTCGGACTAGGGAAATTAAAATAGGTGCCATCGTTAAAACGGTAAATTACTTTCTTTTCCACTTACTTTTCCACTTGTTTGATCATATTTTGTTGTGGGGTTAGCAATCTGTTGTCCCAGGATATCGAACCGCGGCCAGATATAAAAAATATCGCCCGCTCCAACAGCCATTCAGAGCGCACGAGTTTTGTAGCATAAAATATGTTTGTATTCTACAGGAGGTATATTCACTGAATTGGATATTCTGTGGTCAACGTACGATGATTATTTTCAGTTCTTCAGGGGTACTCGAATGTAAGTACTCAAACACATCATGCACAACAGCGCTTTGGTTGACTTGCGTATTCAAGAGATGCATAAACTAATGTCATAAGAAAATCTTATTTTTATAGCAACTGGTGTTCTAGGTTGGACTGTGAGACCTTTAGCAAGATGTTCTTGCTAGATACCGCAAACCTCAAACTGCAGTTCGATGTCAATCTTCAATTTCCGTCAATTTACTGGAAGAGACGCCATATTGAATTGCATTGATGCTGAGTGTTTTTCCGTGTTTGAGCGTGTTTCTAGGCCTAAACTCAGCAGTTAGCGGTTAGCGGTAGACCTGATGCTAAAGGTCTCTAGTCCATCTTTCTCCCCATATAAATGCTTCACTCACCTCACTCCCCGCGCGACCAAGTTAGGGCGGAAAAAACTTGACTCGACTGATGGAGAGGAAAGAGGGACTGTTAATAGTCTAGTTTTTTGGTATGAATTAACGTACATTCGTAGTTATTAATGACTTTTTCTATTTGTCTTTTAGGTACTTAAAGCAAAAGAGAGATTATGAACCAGAATTTCAAGCATTTATAAACCTGCAAAGAGGAGCTAGAAATACACATCTTGAAATGTTACTTCTCAGACCAGTGAGTAAATCATTTGATAAATCAAATCTTCCATCGCAGCACTTAAAGGTCCATTGTTCAACCCATCAAAAAGGCGACATTTTAAATAAAACACGAAACTTAATTGCTCAGTTGTTTTACAGCAAATTTTCTCGATTCTCTCGTCATTCACTGAATGAGGTGATAAATGAGGTCGTTTACACTAACAAGTCACGTGACCTTATCTCCTTAAAATTAGTTGTGTCAGAAGGAAAACCAGAAATGAAGAGAGCACCTCGATGTTAATAATAGGCGAAGGTTCAGGTCATAACATATGATACAGGAGTAATGGCATTAGATAGAACATCGGTATTTCATTTTGTTTATATTTTATAATATAGGGTCACGTGACTTGATGGTACAAATACATTTTTTGATTGACTAAACGAAAACACCATCGACGGAGACGTGTCTTCAAAAGTTAAAAAAACCATTTACATCCGCCCCCCCCCCCCCCCCCCCCCCCCCCCCGCCAATCACATNCCCCCCCCCCCCCCCCCCCCCTTGTCGTATGAATCCCAAATGCCACGTTCGGTACCTTGGATTACTATGATGTTCTTGAAGAAATAGAAAACGCGCGCGTGTGCTGTGTGTAGTTTTATAGCACGCGTGGGTTGGCAGAACATCCGCCCCCCCCTTGTCGTATGAATCCCAAATGCCACGTTCGGTACCTTGGATTACTATGATGTTATTGAAGAAATAGAAAACGCGCGCGTGTGCTGTGTGTAGTTTTATAGCACGCGTGGGTTGGCAGAACACGAGAGAAGTATTTGGAGAAGCACGACGCGTAACGGAGTACTTCTCGACAATTCTCGAGTGTTCTATCAATCCGCACGTGCTTTAAAACTGCACACAGCACAGCAAGCAAGTTTTTTATTTCTTTTATAAAATACAAATTACAATAACCGTTATTTTAGATAGGAATGACACTTCTAAAAGTGCGCGTGCGTGATGTGTGCTCTCATAAAGCACGCACTCACAACCAATCAGAACGCGAGATTTAAAAACAGTTATTTTATAACTCATTTTAGTCCCATCCAAGCACCAAAATGGTTGCCATCTCTGTGAAAGCCATTGGTAAATGGCAGACAAACAAATGTCTATTAATATATTTCATAATATACTTATACGATAGATAATACATTTATCACATCGAGTTCACACTCTATTAGGAATTGGTTGAATATTCTCGACCAATCAGCGGAGAGATATTGAGTAAAATGTACAAAATGTCGGATGTCGGTAACACCCGAGAAAACGATCACCTGTTGATACTTATTACAGAGAGAAAGAGACCGCTTACTTATCACCTGATTAATTATGTTATTGTACCATGGAAAAACAAAATTAGTGAGAGGATAGAGAGAAGACACAGTTCGAATCGTTAATGGAGCAGAAATAAAACTTCGATATAGGATTTCGAGATTCCCGTAGTATCTCAGTGTTAATCAACCAAATTTTGTAACAGATATACAACACATTTCATGTCCTTATCGTGGACGGCGCTTAGACCTCAAACTTGACAGATATAAAGTGGTGTTTCACAAATAAAGTCTTGGCACAAGGGAAGCACGAGTAATCACCAATTTGACCGAAATTCAAATAACGGGTCCGGTATCTAGTATCCTCCTGGGTTCCAGAGGGATTTTTTGGCGGATTTACTGAGAGAGCGGCGATCAGTAAATTCGCGAAAAAATTCTCTCTGGAATCTAGGGTAGGTGTTGAGTAGAGTTGTTTGTTGATTCTCTCCTGTGTGGTATGTGAGTAGAGTTGTTTGTTGGTTCTCTCCTGTGTGGTATGTGAGTAGAGTTGTTTGTTGGTTCTCTCCTGTGTAGTATGTGAGTAGAGTTGTTTGTTGGTTCTCTCCTGTGTAGTATGTGAGTAGAGTTGTTTGTTGGCTCTCTCCTGTGTAGTATGTGAGTAGAGTTGTTTGTTGGCTCTCTCCTGTGTTGTATGTGAGTAGAGTTGTTTGTTGGTTCTCTCCTGTGTAGTATGTGAGTAGAGTTGTTTGTTGCTTCTCTCCTGTGCTTTGAGGGTTTTTCTCCTGATTCTCCGGTATTCCTCCCTCTGTTAGGAATCAACGTCTAAATTTCAGTTCGTCCATGAGTCCACAGGTTTATTACTGAGCGAGCTTGTTAGCTACTGAGTAATAAGTGCTACCATCGTCACAACAAGGATTATTCTAATTCTTTCTAGTGTTTATTGGAATATTACGATCGCCCCGGCCTATGCTAATAAAACTCGCAAGAAAAAGGAAAAAGGTAGAAAAGTGTTAAATATTTTTTAATTTAGTAAGAAAGTAGTGGAAATGAAGGTCTGAACATGCATTTTACTATGATACACCGATTTATGCTTTTTAAATATCGAGCGAGCTCAGAGTGTTTGATACTCGTAAGTTAATTGAAACGATGAGATTCTCAGCATGAGAACGTAAAGGTCATGTATCGTCAAGTCTCTGATGTCACTCTCTACTTAAAATATTTGTTACACAATCCAGATTCCTGAGGCATTAATGATTCTGTCGACTGTTTCCTTGTCTGTTGGCGACATCCCTTCAATCATACAAGAAATAAACTAAGTTTAAGGAATTCTTCGAGTTTTAAAGGAAAAATATTTTCACAACATGGTCAGAATTTCCTGATTGTAGGTCCTTCTTTAAGTTATCATGACATCATCACTTTGTCAATTAGTTTGATCAGCGGTAATTTGATATGATACTGGTACCATACATTGTTACCAACCGTTTACTGCTGAAGACGTACAGTGATGTAGCGGCCGTGACCTGGTCTGACCATGAGGAGAAACAAATCTAAAGCATTTTCAAGGTTGAAGTATGGGGTTAAAAAGAGTTTTAAAACGAGCAGGAAATGGAGTAGAAAATTTATACGCGGACGTCGAGCGTACAGTGTAAGTGATTGTCGTTTCCGTTCACGATTCTCGTTAATAAATTTTGGCGTAAAATTTTAAGTTTTGCTTCAAAAATCGAACGTTTTTGTGTATATTTATCTATCGTTATCATTTCGCTTTAAAACACTAGATTTTCTGTTATTAATGATTTCATTTCGATGTCCAGTTGCGAAGTCATTATTATCAACCTTGCTACTTGCTACTTAACTATTTGGCTATCCGTATGCTAACAGATAAGGCGGCCGAATAAGAAAATCCTCAATTTCGTTTAAAAAAATAGCAACACCATACTCTCTTTGCAATGAAAGTTTATTACAGAAAACATCTTAGCCTTAGAGTTTTCTAAGCTTTGCACAATCCGCTTATTTTTTTAAAAATTGCTCATCATTAGTTAATTATTAATGAAGACTATTATACCTAGTGTGTTTGTGTTTGCACTCTTGCTTGTGGCCAGGAAACTCTTCATGATGACAACATGTATCATTGTTGAATTATTTGTAGATAGGATATTAGCTCGCATTAACCGGGTTCGAAGTAATTCTACATTAAGGTTATATGTATATATATATATATAGTTAAATATCAATCAGCGGTAGTGCACTCACCTCTCACCTCTAATTTCTGGGATCTCGGGTAAGATCCCTGTATTTGGCATCACATTTGAGTAGAGGTTGTTGGGTCTCTCCCTTGATTCGAGGGTCTTTCTCCGGATTCTCTGATTTTCCTTCCATTGCAAAACCTTACATGCTAAATTCCAATTCGATCTGTAAATTCCAATTCAGTATGCAAGTTAGGATTGCCCTGACTTAGATCAGTTTAGAGGTTGTATCAGGGTATCGATCAAATTTAAGCTTTTCATAGCGTCCTTCCGTCCTTCCTTCCTTCATTCATTCAAGCACTGATTTGTTTATGTAGTTGAATACTTATTTACGTGTACATGTAATTATATATGTTTTGGTTTGTTTGTTTATTTGTTATGCCTAAATTAATCCAGGACTAGAATTAGTGACCTCACAGTGGCAAGGAGTGCAGCCAGGATTTCGCTAAGGGGCAGGCCCAAATTCAAAAAACCCGCAATTTGATTTGAGACCTGGCCCCTTGCCCCCCTCTCCCCCTGTCGAAACATAGTATACTTGTAATCATTATTTTCAGTCTAAGAGCAAGGTTTTGTCTTTCAGATCCAGCACGTGGTTGACTACGAGAGGATTTTAACGAGTTTACTTGATAAGACTCCCGCTGACCATCCTGATCGGCAAGACCTTGACCACGTGGCAACAAACTTCAGACGGGTAATTGTCTAGGATATCCTTTTAAGTCCCGAAGGCCGACCTGACAAACGTGAAAAGTCCCAACAATCTCCCAACATTCAGCCTACTGTCGGGACTGAGAATGCTGGCGCGTTAAGTTGTTGTGTCCCAAAACCACGGAATCGCGTATAATATGTGTAAATGCACATGTGTGGTGCCGACAAATGTTGGCTGAATGCTGGCTAACCTTGTATACGATGAAAACATTTTTAGAACAATAGACTGAAATGTTGGTTTGGTGTGGGGGAAATCAAACCGTCACCCAACATTCATCCAACATCAAAAAATCACATCCCATCATGTACATTGCCCATGACAAACGATGTCAGCTTTAATCGAGACAAATGTAGGGTAAATGTTTGGTAGAAAGTCAGGACCGTTTATAAGGGGCTTTAGAAAAGTATAAGCTGTCTTTGCAACCACTAGTATTGACCACTACTGTGAAACACAGTTTGAATTTTCGAACAAACTCTGAATTTAAAGCTTTCCTAAGCAACATTTCCGGCACAATCAAGCGCAACTGTGTACGCTTAGTATAGGGTGTGCGCTGAATAGAGGTTTGTTTGAAATATACTTACTTGAAATATGAGAGGAAATAGTCCCCTTCACAGTTCCCTGCGACATCTTGAAAGGTAGCCGTGCCTTTACATCGTAGCGAGACAAACGGTGAGCTTGCAATGATAGGTCTCTACCATTGCAAGCTCACCGTTCGTCTCGCTTCGATACAAAGGCACGGCTACCTTTCAAGATAGCGCAGGGAACTGTGAAGGGAACTATTGATTTTTTGACCATGAAATTTGCTTTCCGTTCAATGTCACTGCAATGGAATTTTCAACCACTCTTTTCCTGGTTCAATTTTCAGATAGTTTTCATATAGTTTCTATATAAGATCGTCACATAGCTGCCGAATAAAAGATCGTAGAGGTTTTTGATACCCTCTGTTATTTGGCGACTGGTCAATTGGTTTCTCTTCCACTCATCAAAATACTGTGTAACAATTTCCTAAATCCTTGTCGATAGCGTCTCATACATGAATAGAGTGGCTCCCGGCGAACGGTCTTCACATACTTCCTCTGTTCTAGTGTAAAAAGTTAATATGACGTGTTGGAGTTATTTGTCTGGAGTGACTTTCGAACTCCTAGAACAGATACATAAGGGTTATTTGGTCCTCTAGCTGTGTGCCGATTGACGACTTTACCAAAGTATCATGCTCAGTTGAGACAATGCGTTACCCAGGATGCACCACGTGGAGGTGGATGAAAAAATATAAACATGATGGCATAGGAATTAATATACTATAATAAAATAATGTAAGAGACTCCAGAATGAAACATATGCCAGACCAAATAGAGTGCCGTAAGTGCGCAAAATGATACACAATAATCGAAATAAATCAGGTCTTATTTATTGTTTTTCCTTTGCAGATTGTACGAGAAAGATCTGAAGAAATAGTGGCTTTTGAAAACGAGGTAACGTAAAATAACTGAGATATCTTGGATGTTCTTGCTTTCGTTATCTCTTACCTCAGTGTCCACTTATTAGACCATAACTGTGGTTATCTGTATTATGACTCTTGTTTTACTATGAAGGGGTTATCTCTCTAAAATGTTATCGTAAAATGAATGTGCAATGTAACAGTCATTTGTGTGAGGGTAGACACGAACTGATCTTCCACATTGATGGGCTGCAAGCATTCCCATGAGAGTTAAAAGACAAAAGCATTGTAGTGCCGTTAACAATGGACGCTAATAAGAAATCTTTCGTTAAATGGCACCAACATGGTCGCGATGACGTAACGTGCAATCGAAGAATTTCAATACCACATCTCATATGCTAGTACTTATTTAAGTCACACTTAGAGCTGGTTTCATATGACTGTGAAAAGCTTGCGGCACACGAACGAACGCGGTCGTGACAAGGCAAGGCGTACACCAGACCAATCACATTGCACGTATAATTTACTCTCCATCAAATCAAATACCCGGAACACGGCGCGGACACGGTGACCACCAAGGTCACGGCACTGCCAGACAAATTACATTGCACGATAATTTACTCTCCATCAAATCAAATACCCGAAACACGGCGCGGACAAGGTGAACCACCAAGGTCACAGCACTGCCAGACCAATCACATTGCACAAGAAAAAAATTGAAGCCAGTTAAAATTGTAGAAAACAATACGGCAAGGCATGCATATGGCACTGAGATTTTCACAGTCATACGAAAACTGCTCTAATTCTTTTGCCTGACAATGTCGTGAGTTAGAGAGATTACTTGATTGTCTTCGTCCGACATCCATTACATCTAGGGGAGGCACATCTTTACCTACCCACCCGTTCCTGACATCCTCTTTGTTAGTCTACGAGCGTGATTGCAAGTCGCATCCATAAATTACGTGACGTCACTATTTCTTGTCCTTCAAGAGTTGTTGAATTCTAAATGAGTAAAACGTAAAGTTATGTAGGGCCGGAAATCTCTTATCAATTAAGAGTCTGACTTATCTTAATCCACCTCGATTATAAGGTGCTGAATTGTTGTTTTATAAAGTAGTCTATATTGTAAGTAGACACTGCGACCTATCCATTTTATATGTTATAAATTGAATAATTCATCATCATCACAGATATGACATATTCATCATCGTCACATATATGACATATCCATCATCATCACAGATATGACATATTCATCATCGTCACATATATGACATATTCATCATCGTCACAGATATGACATAT